TTTTTTTTTTTTTTTTTTTTGAGTGGTAAATTCTACTCCCTCAGTCCAAGTTTTGTGATGGCCAGGCGTGCTGACTGCTGGGCTCCTGGTCAGCACAATCCATCGTGAAATGTTATTGAAATTAGAAACTGGTTTATAGGAAAAGCGCAAGTGGAGATCTGCTTTATCTCATTTGTCTGCATCTTTGATTTATAGGTGTACCTACATTGCTTGGAATTGTGTTAAATTTCTTTAGAGAAGTGAATTTGTCTGGGTTTTTTACAACTACATGTCAGTACTACATATACATAGTGTAGCCATAAAAAGCAACCTTCCTTTTTTCATGGTTTGTGTACGGTTGTGTAAGCAGTTGTGCAGAGTAGCTCAGTCACTGATTTTAACTAAGTATAGTTAGCAAAGGAATTATCTTTTTTGTGTGTCTCGCAATGCTAATCTTCTTTGCATAAGTATAATATGGCTAACTAGTTACAATGTATTACTGGTTAAAGGGCATTTTGGTTTTATATGAACAAAACATTTAACAAACTAGCCTTCAAGAGCTTAAAGTGCTGTGAACAGTTTTATCTTTTTACTAACTGCTGATGTCAAATATATTTTCTTTCATGTTTGTTTCTAGGTATGTCCTAGGTGGAGGTGCATTATGCATGGAACTTCTTACTAAACAGGTGAACACAGGCTCTGTTATCTGGATAATAAGAAAGCATGCTTTGAAATAATGAAAGTAGGTGTTTCCCCTGAGTTGAAGAATCTTTGTGTAGAATAAATTACACACTCCAAAGGGAACATGGTGGAGTAAACCTCAGTTCCACAAGATTTGCCTTGCTGATCTTTTGCGAGATCTTCTTTCCTGCCTTGGGTGGCTTACAAGAGGTCTGAGGAAGAGGCAAGAAGTCAGAGCACATCAGCTTTGAATTCTCAGAATTTCTGGGGGGAGAAGCCAATGTAAAGAGTGAGTTCTGAGGAGCGAGGCACACTGTTTTCTCTTCCAGAAGCCTCTGCTACTGCACCAAGTCAACTCTGGAGAAGTGAGGAATGCGGAAGATTGTAGGCGTAGATGACTCCTGTGTAGACAGTGTGATTGGTTTTCACTTTAAAATAAGTAAATTAGTGAAGTGAATATATGCAGGCTCTGGTAGAAAGTTTTGTGAACCCTGGAAGATAAAGCAATACCAGAGAGAAGCAGTAATTTTCATGGCAGCAAAATTGTCATAGCTCACTCAGTGGCTTCATCAGGTACCCGTCTTATCTGCTTCTTGCAACAGAAGTTGTAATTACTGTTGTGACGTTGCTGAAACTGTGTAAATGCTGTAATAATGGAGCTCCTCTTATTTCTGTCTTGCTGTGTTTTGGAAATGTGTGATTCAGACTTCTCAATTTTCCTACAGGTACTTAGTACTTTGTATCACTTTCCAGATTTTCTCCATAAATGAAAGGTGTTAACTGAAAAGAAATAGTTAAAACTAAAACTGGAGCGCAGGAAAAAAAAAAAATTAAATATCCCAAAGCACACATTCCAAAATAGATTTGCAAGGTGAGCACAAAAAGCAAGTGCATGTTATATAGAAATGTTTCCTTCCTCCTCCAGGGCTGGAGCAGTGCCTATTCAATAGAATCAGTCATCATGCAGATCAATGCCACTTTAGTCAAAGGAAAAGCCAGAGTACAGTTTGGAGCCAATAAGGTAAATATGCTGTGTGTATCAATTACACAAATTACTGTTAGGCTTCCATTTCTTTGCTGACTTGCATAGAAGATGTTTAATGACAGAATTGTCATTGCAAATATATTTGCGTTTTGATGTATCTTGATGTCTGGTGCATGTATGAGTATTTTATTGGCAGTTGAGTTTATTAAGAAATGATGTGAATGTATGAGGAGGATAAAACCTTGGGATGGACAAAGGTGTGTAAGTAGTTGGACTTGGACTATCCCCATATTGGCAAGGAGGGAGGGAAGGAGGATTTGGAATTGGGACGATTTGGAAATTCTGGCTCCGAGAAGGGCTGTAAGATGACAGCCTGACTGCAGGATTGCATGCACTGATGTTAAGGTCTCCTTTTGCTGCACTAAACACCTGCAGAGTTTCATGAGAGAGAGAAAAATAATGCCATGCAAATACTTGTGAGATAGCCATTCAGCATTAACTGAAATCATAATTCAGTTCAAGTGTGCATGCTGGTAAGGGGCCATAACTTAAGACTTTGAAGTACTAAATGCTATTTTCAAAGGAGGTTTAAATATTTAAGTCAATAAAAATGTCACTTGGATGCCAGTTTTTAAGTACTGATTCAAGCATAGTGAACCAGGTAAGACGTAAAAGTTTATGATCACAGTTCTGTCTAACCTGGTAGCCGGTCAGCTGAGCAAGACGGAGTTACGGTGGGGATCGCCTGAACCCGCCGTTCCAGTTGCGCACACTTCTGACTTACCTCAGGTTGCGAACCCTGCGATAGAGGGGCCTTTCCAGCAGCAGGGGCATGCAAATTATTGCCATCGTGATGCAGGAGAAATGAGAAAATAAGGGTATTTGACTTGAAAATCTTGTACTTTAAAGCCAGGAAAGTTGTTAACATGGTGTGTGGTTTTCTCTTTCTAAGTCTGCTGTAGAGTTTCTTCGTAAAACTGTGTTGAAGTTTTGCACGTGTAGATGCAGGTTTTTTATGGTAGTGTTTTTCTCCTTCCAGAATCAATATAATCTAGCAAGAGCACAGCAGTCCTATAAGTCACTAGTACAAATACATGAGAAAAATGGTATGTATATTCTTGCGACTTTGTTCTTGTCTGCACAGCAACCTGGGAATTGGTATTTGGCGGCAGTAAAACTTTAAGTGTCTTATGTTGGCTTGGGAAGGCCATAAATGGTGTTTCCTTTTTCTCATCTTGCACTAGGAAGACAATAGTGCTTAAAGTAACTGGACTAACAATCATTGCAACTTTTCCAGCTTCCATGTGTTCCTGCTGTCTTTTGAAAGGTATTTCAATTTCATTTGCAGCCAGTTGATCTAGTAACTTTATTGTTACTGTGGCTTTTAAAGTATCTTATATGTTAGTGAAGTACCTGCTGTAAGTTTGCCTCTTGCCCTGAAAGGCTTTGTTTCTGTGTGGTGAGACCTTAGCAGTGGTAATCAGTAAGGAAGAGATGAAGTGGAAAGAAAGACCAGAGACTGAAAAATACAGAAAGTCCCCGTGAAGTGCACTGGCTGGGAAACTGTGCAATAGAAATGGGAAACTTTTTTTTTTTTTTTTAACTGTATTTAAAGTCAGTTGATGTCTCTCAGCTGCATGAAACAAGTATTCAAGTGCTTCAGGTATAATTGCATTCATTGTGTCAGGATGAGAAGACAACAAATGACCCTGAGGCTTTAAAAGGTTCGAGTGGCTGATGTGTTATGTAAAAGTAGTCAGCAGAGTCGGTACGCTGCTCTCATGATGAGGGAGTTAGTCCCAGTTACTGCTTCCGTGATGTTCTTTGATCCAGGTTGGACACAGTCCCCTCTGGGCATTCATGTTGCTGTGAATATGAGAGCGTATTTCAGTGTGACTGCAGTGAGCGCCTCAGTTTCCCTACCTCTAAAATTGAACATGATGCCTTCTCTATTATTGGAAGATCAAAGATAATGATTTTAGAATGCTTTCCAGTTTTATGATATTTTGATCTTGCCATTAACTGAGTCTTTTGCTTTTTTAGTTTGCTACAAAAGCCAGCATGGCTGTCTGTTTGCTTCTAGCTATGTGCTAGCCTTGACTACAGTGATTACTGCTGCGTCAGGAGCTGTACACAAAGCATTCACAGCACTTATTGCTGCTGCCAAAGGTGTCTTTAACTTATAGCTGCTACTTGTTCTCTGAGACAACATAAGTAGGCCCTGTACTCACTGTACAGAAATCTGGAGGATTTTTTTACAATAGTGGCTGGGAGAATTAAGATTGGAAATCTGGAGGTGGCTAGGAAAAAAACCAAACAACTATGCAGACTTGATCCGGGTGTGATTCAACTGCTAAATATGCCAAATCCTATCAAGAGGCAAGTTATTCAGCTGACATTTCTGAGCCCATTCCTGCAGCAAGATTTGCAGAAGTAGGATAAACCGTTGTAGTGCTTGTGCGTGCCTAACTCTTCAGTAGGCAAGATGATGGGATTTATATATAAGTATCCCAGTGTAGTCATGTTTGTATGTCTGTGCATTGAGTGGCTTGAAGACTAGGGGGTTTTACCTATATTCCATTTGGGTTTGGTACGGCAATGTTCCTTCCTCAACAGCTTCCTCTCTTGATGTCCAGCTTGTCCAACTCAGGATAGCTGCTCCCCCCCCCCCCAAAAAAAAAACAAAACCCAAACTTGGCATGAAAATCAAACACTTCCCAACTACTGGGTCTGATCCTAGAATACAGTGTGCTTTATTTCCCACTGCAAACCGCTAGAGTTTAGGGCACTAGGTCTGACGGAGCTGGCCTGCTTTGAGAGGGAAGGAAGGAGCCAGATCAGGCTTCCATCTCCCACAAATTCAGAGTAAGATGGTGAGATCCTCTTGATGTAGTCATGCTGGTACCTAACGCATTTCTCTGTTCTCCGTAGGCTGGTACACTCCTCCGAAAGAAGATGGCTAACATTGAGGACTGTTGTATACCTGGACCAATGTCAACAAAACAAGCTCTTTTTTATGTTTTCCAACACACAGACTCAAGCTATGAGTGCCCCTATAACAGCCGTACTGAAGACTTTAGCTATTAGATAAGTTAGTGGATAATCTGTCAACTGACACGTAAAGTATAAGTTACAGCCTTACCATTCCGCTCTCCTTAGGTATCTGGACTGAGCAGTTTGGGCCTTTACCGTATTTGTTCTTATGGATTAAGCATATTTGGGCCACGCCCTCCCTTCTCCCTTTTTTTATTTGAAAGCGTAAGCTCCCTACTGCAGGCTACTGAGTTACTAAAGATCGTTCGATAGGAGTGAGCTGTTCACACACTTTTGTGTATTTCTTACCTTTTGCAAAATGCAGACTGCAGAGACTTGCGTTGTATCGTTTCATTTAAAGCCAAGAAGTTTAATACATTGTTTAATACTGTTTTAGGAAATGTCAGGTCTTGCAAATCACAGTAGTTTTTCTGGTCTAAAATGACAGCATTTGTAGTATTTCCAAATTAATGATATAGGAAAAACACGTGTATGTTAAGTCATTAAACATTTTTCATGGCTGTATGAGAATATGAACTGTTTCTTGGAAAAGATGCTCTTTGTTTAGATTATGTTAATTTTTTGTTTTGGTTTGGTTGGTTTGTTTTTCTTTTCTCTTTTTTTTTTTTTTTTTTTTTTTTTTTTTGGTTTTGTTTGTTTTTTTTTTTTTTTTTTTTTTTTTTTTTTTTTTTTTTTAAGCAGAGCAAGGCTGTGCCAATAAAACCTTGTAACTAGTCACTTCCACTGGGGCATCAGAACTTGCTGGGCTGTTCCTGCTACTTGTTGGCTCAACCTCCTTAACAAGAAGAGCTGCAGTATGAAGCTTGAAGTTATTTTAAAATACTAAAAAACCTTTTTAGGTGTTCCATTTTATTAACGGGTTGTTGCAATCATTTGTAAACTAATGAACTTAAAAAGTGATTGGCACAAATCGAGATGAAAGTCCTTGAATGAAAATTTTTTATATAAAAGCTACAATAAAGTACAAAAACACGTCATCTGATTCAGAGGTGTAAGAAATGTTGCCATAGTCATGACGGTGGTTTTGTTACCGAGAGACTGATGGGGAACCGTTCGTCCTTCGTTAGGAAATGAATCTGGGTCTGTGTAATTACACCGTGTTTCATTGCCTTACCTAAATCGATTCTATTTTGGTTGTAGTACTCGTCGTTAGGCCTTTGCCCCCCTCTGGGGCTGAGCGAAGGGTGTGCACCACGGATTAAGCACTTTTTAGAAGCGCAGAAGCATGTTTTTGTTACGGTTTTTAGTCGACTATCAGATTTGTGCTCTTTCCTCCGTCAGGCACCTGCGGCTCCTTGTGCGTTCGCTTCCAGGCCCCGTCTCGGTCTCCGGAGGAGCGAGGGGAGAGGTCCGGCCCGGCCCGGCCCTGCCTGAGGCGCCGCGGCCCGCGGGCCACCCCCCAGCCCTCCTGCTTGCCCGGCCCTGCCGCTCTGCGCCGCCCCGCCTTTGGTTTGGGTTCCATTTCTCATTGCAGAGTTACTTGGCAATGTACAGTAATTTGTAAACTTGCATCAAGTTTATGAATAAAAACCATTTTAAGAAGTGCGCTGTGTCCCTCTGGGGCGCGCGGGGGTCGGGGAGGGAAGCGGTGCGCGGGGCGGGACCTCCCGGCCGCCAGGCGGCGCAATAGCGGCCGCGCTGGC